CAAGAGTCAACTAAATTAGTCATTCAAAAAATGTAAATTTAGGAACTATCTATCTGTTTCCATCTATATTGCCAATCAGTGTGTCTTTATTACATGATGAAAGTAATTAGGAAAAAAAATGAAGACTATATCCAGAAGAGGCCTTTCAATGCAGACACTACATCTACAATTCTTACTTCCAAAGAACAATACTGAGACTTGCTCCTGGCAATATTAATCATGACCCATAAGCACTGGCATCCCCTGAGTGCCTACTAGAAATACAACTACTGGCTTCCCCAGCAGCTCAGAATGTGGTCTGTATACATTACTTCACTTAACTCATTCAAGAAATGCTGACTGAGTTCCTACTATGTGCTGGACACTTTCCTAGAAGTGTGGCCCACAGTAGTTTGTAGGACAAAGGCTGGGCCGCTGATAGCTTATGTTCTACTTGAAGATAGAGTCAATCTATAACAACATTCTGCTTTTAGAGATTGGTATGAAAGACGTTTATTGTTGTTTTAGGTCACTAAGTTTGGGGGATAATTTATTATTCAACAAGAAAACACCTTCCTTTCTGGTCTCCAACACTCCAGGCACATTCCCTGAGGGTGTTTGCATTTGCTGTTCCCTCTGCCTGGAATACATTTTTCTGGACAGTTGCACTATTCCATCCCTCATTTCCTTTAGGGGTTTATGCAGAGGTCATTTTGAGGACTTTCCTAGTTACTGCATCTAAAATCTAACCCCCCTTCTATTTCATTTTGCTTCCTGCCAATTATCAACATTTCTCCTTCTGTTTACTGTTTTATCCCCAGATCCTAGAACAGTGCCCAGTTCATGGTAAGCACTCAGTATGTACTTGCAGGTAAATGAATACTTCTGTTTAGTGGAGAACTTCCAGCAAGCACATCTATAATCTGTGCACTCATGGTACCCAGCAGCAAGTATGTGGCTTACTTAAATCACTGTTCCAACACAGTTGCAGTTCTCACTCCTTCCTACTTTCAAATATGAGTTTCCCTGATGAGGTTGGTAGGCCCCAAGACGGCACCCAATGATCCTTGCTGCCTGGTAATCTGGAAAGAGAAATTCCACTTGTGTAATTCCTTCTCTTTGGGTATGCCTGGGACCTATGACTTGTTTCTAATAGAATGCAAAGGTGACAAGATGTCATTTCCATAATGCTAACCTCAACCCTAGAGCAAGCCAGGGTGCCATCTTGTTAGAAAATAGAAACATTTTCAGGGCTTCATTCCGTTTGAAATGTTTTCCCCCTTTATTTTATGTTTTTTAGATTACAAAAGCAATATACAATGCAAAAGTATTTACACAACTTACTACCCTTCTCCACCAAGGAAACCAATGAATGTTAACACTTTCATGTATATTTTTCTACACTTTTCTCATATATTTTCTACACTTCCACATGCATCTATACATACATAGGAGTTTTAATTCTTTTAAAAAATAGAATCATAAACGTTATTATGAAATGTGCCCTTTTCAATTAACGATATATACCATGAACATCCCCACAAATTAGCAGAATTCTACCTTCCCCATTCCCAGCCAAATCTACTAACTCACACATATGTGGTATCACACATGATTCAGTCATTTATGTATTTTCCTTTTCTTGGTCTTCCTTTTCCCTATACCCCTAACTCTCCCATAACCTACCTGAATTACCCACCTCCCTCCAAGTCAATGCATACTCTTCTATACTTTTCTCCATGCACATAAAATCAAATAAACATATATGGATACCTGCTTATTGCTGATAAACACCTAGAGACATTCTGTTAACGATTTACAAAAGTGGAGTCATATTTAACAAACTTACTGTCTTGCATTTTTCACTCAAGAGAACATTGTGGAATTCCATTCAAGTCCTCTGGCATAGTTTTAATCTGTCCACCTTCATGGCTATATTAATATTCTATGGAATGGATATACTATAGTTCTTCCCTTCCTCCAATTTCCCAACTGATGGGGATTTATTCTGATTCTAGTGTTTGCATTAGTCTTTTGTTTTGTTTTGCCATTGGGAACAATTTTACAATAAATGTCCATGTTCACAAGTTCATCTGTCTTTTACGTATTGGAGCTTTTACTTCTAAGGGAAGATTCTCCAAAGTGACAAAAGTATTTTAGTCATATTACCAGATTTTTTTTTTTTTTTTTTTGAGACACAGTCTCGCTCTGTTGCCCAGGCTGGAGTGCAATGGTGCGATCTCGGCTTACTGCAGCCTCCGCCTCTTGGGTTCAAGCGATTCTCCTGCCTCAGCCTCCCAAGTAGCTGACGTTACAGACACCTGCCACCATGCCTGGCTAATTTTTGCATTGTTAGTAGAGACAGGGTTTCACCATGCTGGCAAGGCTGGTCTTGAACCCCCAACCTCAGGCAATCTGCCCACCTTGGACTCCCAAAGTGCTAGGATTACAGACGTGAGCCACTGCACCGGCCTAAATATTACCAGATTTCTTTCCAAAAGAGTAATTTGCATTACTTTTCAAAATTTATTTCTCCACCAGCAATGTATAACATCTTTTGTTCTGCCAGCTAAAAATGCTGTTACATAGTGATATCTTATTTTAACTTTAAATCTGCATCCCCAAATGACTACTATGGATAAACATTTTTGGATGGGTCCGTCGGCCACTGAGATTTGCTCTTCTCACATGTGTCACCTCATATTCTTTGCCACGTTTGGCTACTGGGTTTTCTTTCCTGTCCATTTGATGAATGCCTTCTCTCTGATCAGCTCTACAAATATTTTCCCACAATCTATTATCTATTGACTTTGTTTATGGCATCTTTTGTCACTCAAAAGATTGTGCCTTTTAGGTAGTCAAATGTTATTTTATTATTTTTTTCAGACGGAGTCTTGCTCTGTTGCCCAGGCTAGAGTGCAATGGTGCGATCTCCACTCCCTGCAAACCCTAGCTCCCCAGTTCAAGCAATTCTCATGCCTCACCTTCTCAAGTAGCTGGGACTACAGGCATGCACCATCACGGCCAGCTAATTTTTGTATTTTTAGTGGAGATGGGGTTTCACCATGTTGACCAGACTATCCTTGAATTCCTGACCTTAGGTGATCTGCCCACCTTGGCCTCCCAAAGTGTTGGGATTACAGGCATGAGCCACCGCACCCGGCCTTCAAATGTTTATTTCTAAGTAGCTTCTGAGTGTCCTGTGTTGGTAAAGTTAGTCTCTCCCAACTCCTAGACTGTACATGTAGGCTCCTTTGATTTTCTTTTAAGAATTGTGTTGTTTGAAAGTTTTGTCTTAAATCCACCCATAATTTACTTTTGTGCTGTTAATCCAACTTTTCTTCCTTCAAGATTAAAAAGTTATTGTTCCAGAATTCTTTTTAAGTAAACTACTCTTTTGCCCTATGGTTTGAGATTCCACCTTTTTCACATATGAAAAAATTCATATATATCGATGTCTATTTCTGAATTTTCTGCTGTGTTCCATTATTTACCTGTTCCTTGCCAATACAATATTAATTTCATTAGAATGACTTCAAGTTATCTTCTGATATCTAGCATGATATTTTAAAAATATTGAATTATTATGGATCTATAATTGTATATATTCATTGGGTACATGTGATGTTTTGATACACGGTATGAGTTTTTTCATATTCTCAAAAAGTAATCATTGAGATTTAGTGTACTTCCAAAAGAAGTACATATCAATTATTAGGTGTTTCTTTTCAGCATGGAGAATGGCTCTTGATTTTGGTACCCCGGCTTCTTAGAAAAGTTAGCTTAACTCAAAAAATAGAGTCTTGTCATGTATTGGTGTACGACCATATTATCAGTAAACACGGATGGTTTTACCTTTTCTGCAGCTTATATCATTTCTTTTTATTGCCTTCACTGGATCCTCTAAGACAATACTGAATTCCTGATTTTTAAAAATGCCTTTGGCATAATATATGCTATGAGATTTCAGCTAATTTTTTTTTAAAAAACCTCTTTAAGTGGTTACCATGTATTACAGTGTATATTAACACATTGTATGAAATCCTTTCTCCGTATCTGTGGATAGTTCATGTGATTCTTCTCCTTTAAGCTGTTAATTTTATTGATGTATTTCCTATTACTGAACTAGCTTGGCATTCCTAGGATGATTCTTACTATGCCATTCTTTGGGCATATGGCCGAATTCTATTTGCTAGTATTTTATTTATAATTTTTGTTTCTATCTTCATGAGTAAGACTGGTCTGAAGTTTTCTTTTTTTCAAATATCTGTATTTGATTTTGGTGTTAACACTTATTCTGACTTCATAAAACAAACAAGCAGCACAGTTTATGGATTGTATTACATCCATATAATAAATAACACTGGTACTGGCTGGGCACGGTGGCTCATGCTCGTAATCGCAGCACTTTGGGAGGCCAAGGCGGGTGGATCACCTGAGGTCAGGAGTTCAAAACCAGCCTGGCCAACATGGGGAAACACCATTTCTACTAAAAATGCAAAAATTAGCTGGGCGTCGTGGCACATGCCTGTAATCCCAGCTACTTGGAAGGCTGAGGCAGGAGAATTGCTTAAACCTGGGAGGCGGAGGTTGCAGTGGTCTGAGATCACACCATTGCACTCTAGCCCGGGCAACAAGAGTTAAACTCCATCTCAAAAAATAATAATAAAATAAAAATTAGAAAATAAATAACACTGGTATTACTCTTTCTTTAAGAGACAGATAGAACTAAGCATGAAATCATCTGAGCTTGGTGCATTTTCCCTTATAGATCTGTAATCACTTTTTTGAGTTTTTCAATGATAATTGTTCTCCCAAGTTTTCTACTTTTTATTGCAGTTTTCATAACTTAAAGTTTACAAGAAAAGCACCCACTTCCTCTGTTTAAAAAATATGTTGATTAGAGTTGTATGAGGTATTTTTCTGTCACTTAAAAAATCATATGGATATCTGTGGTTATGTCTCCCTTCTCATTCTGAACCAGGTAATCTTACATGGAGGCAAATCTTAAAAAATGTAGATTCCATGTGGCCATTTATTTTCTTATATGGATGACATGGCAACTCAGGGACGCACACTTCTTTTCAAACATTGAAATAGTAAAAACATTGAGATTTAGTGTCCAGGACACTTGCAAGGAAATTTATATGAAAAAAAATGTTCTTGATTTAATTTGCAAAGAGACCAAGAAAAGAAATTCTCCTTCAGTGGTCTATGCATGAAACATTTCTGAGTTTTACAACCTGTATAGAATAGCGTTTCTATGCTACTAATTTGCTGCAAGACATTTTCAGCAAGACCAAGAAAATATGAACAGTGTACTATAAACCAGGATGATGCTACATTTCATCAAATAGTGAGTGTGCTGGGCTGTCAAGTTTACAGTGTTTCATTTACCCAACATCAGGTTTTTATACTATTCCTTAGCTTTGTGTTTTCAATATGAATAACTATATTTTAGTAAAGTTTTTGGCCAACTTATCAAAATACATTTAAAAAACACTGCTTTATTATTCTGCAGAGGACAATAACAACCTCTATAGCCATTTACATGCATTACAAAAAGGTGGGAAAATGTAGCTGGTATATTAAAGTTTTTTTAAAATAATAGTGGGCCATGTCATTATTGTTATTTTTTTGTATTGTTAAGACATCAAAAGGCAAAGATGATACTTAAAGTGAAAAAGTTTTGTGAATGGCATTCTATATATTATGTGACATGTGTGTGATATTCACATTTTATGTTAAATTCATATTTACAATTCCAAAATAAAAATAGTGCTGATTGTATGGCTCACTGTGGAATATGTCATAGTGTGCCTTTAAGTCTCTTCACAGATGTTTTGTATTCTGTTGTTATTCCATTTAATACATTTTTAATCATTTACATGCCAGGGTGACCATGCTTATGTTTTATAAAGTATTTTCTAGAAAAGTCTGTGTTACAATTAGATCATGATTCCATGATAATAAAACACTGTGAAAATTTATTAAAATGGTAAGATTTCTCCTTAGGATAAATTCCCTTCATACAATGAAACTAGATATTTTGCTCAAGGATTTCCTACAATTACTAAGTTTTCATTCCTGTAGGCATTCTTCCTAGCATGAATTTTCTGATGTCTACTGAGGTTTGGCTTCTGGTAGAAAGCTTTCCCACATTCATTGCACTCATAGGGCTTCTCTCCCGTGTGGGTTCTCCAATGTTTATTGAGGCATGACTTCTGGCTGAAGGATTTTCCACATTCTCTGCAACGATAGGGTCTTTCTCCTGTGTGCATTTTTCGATGTACGTTGAGGTATGACTTCTCACCAAATGATTTCCCGCATTCACTACACATGAAGGGTCTCTCTCCTGTATGTGTTCTCTGATGTTCTGTGCGGTGTGACTTCTGGGTGAAGGCTTTCCCACAGAAAAAGCATTCAAAGGGTCTTACCCCAGTGTGAATCCTCTGGTGTTTGATGAGGGTTGACTTATGTGAAAAGGCTTTCCCACAGTCAGTGCACCCATAAGGCTTTTCCCCAGTGTGACTTCTCTGATGCCTAATGAATTCAGACTTGTAGCAGAAGGCTTTCCCACACTCACTACAGACGTGGGGTTTTTCTGTAGGTGGAACCCTCTTCCGTTTGTACACGAGAGAATCACTTACTGTTGGTTTGTACATAAGTGCTGGGTTCTGGGTGAAAGCTTTCTCACAATGACTGCATCCCCAGGGCTTCTCTCCATTAGGTCGTCTACCATGATTTATACACTGAAGCAATTTCCCATAACCATAACACTCATCTTGCTTTTTTGCACAGTTTCTCTTAAAACCAGTGAAGTCTAAATTATGGCTCAAATTCTTTCCACGAGGGTTCCAGTTATTAGGGCTCTGGATTGAAGAAAAAAGATCAGAGCTCAGAAGCGATATTCTCCCAAACTTACTATAGTCACGGCTTTTTTCCTTGGCCAGTGTTTTCTTGCTTATGGCTGCACCTTGCCTCAAAATCATGTCTTGCTGTCTTTTCCTCTGGATATTAACTTGCCAGGTGTCTTCTGGAGAAAGTACAGTGAACCATCTTTATGAAACTTCATACCACTTGAGAAATGCTCTCAAAATTTAAAGAGTGCACAGCACATCAATACAGAACATGAACCATAACCCAAAGCACAAACACAGGGAAGAGTGTTCTGTGAATAAAGAGGATTCTGAAGACTAGCACAAATGGAATGCAATATAATCATAGAGTATAGACAGCAATAATTTCAAAGAAAATAGAATATTACAGAGCAGAGTTTGGCAAACTTATGGGGTCAGAAAATAAAGGCTTTGTGGCCCATATGGTCTCCGTTACAATTTCTCAAGTCTCCCACCGTACCATGAAAATATAGATAACATGTAAACATAAGAATGTGGCTGTGTTCTAATGAAACTTTATTCATAAAGCAGGTGGCCAATCAGCAGGCCATAGTTTGCCGATCCCTGTTATAGAAGAAAGAAGGTTAAATATTATGCAGTACCATGCAATCCAACATGTGAGACTTCAAGTGGCAATTCTGGCCTTACTTGGAGTTTGATAGATGTGCAGAATCTGAGGCCCCGCCCCAGACCTTCTTAGTCAGAATCTGCATTTTAGCAAGATGCCCAGGTGATTCCTCACACACTGGGGCTTAACAAGCACTGGTACAGCAGTCATCCAAGGGTGTATCATGTTGGGCTAGTTAGTTACCATATAAATGGCAAAGCTGTCTACAGTGAACCAGATAAAATAATAAAATCAACAAGACTAACTAGGACTTAAGTAAGAGTTCTTAACTTGGTGGGCAGAAATCAGGGGACTTGTGAACTTTGATGGAAAAGAAATTATAGTAAGAAAACAACAAAAAAAGAAATATCTTTGTTTTCACTGAGTTCTAACTACAATTGAACATTGTCTTTGACCATGAATAGGAACAACTAAATCAGCAGTATTAGCAGTTCCTGTGACTTGGTACTAGTTTGTGAACAGTGTTATTTTCATGTCACATTATTACGTTTATAATCATCTCTTCTTTGAGATCATGATAGTTATTAGACCTGATGCTAAACCTCATTAATGTATAAATTAAAAAGTACATCTGCTATTATATTGCTGAGTTTCACAATATTTTGGTAACTATTTTCTATCTACTTATTTTGATAATTACTGTACTTTAGTCATTTGCTTTATAATCTTATGAATTTTATTGTATTTTTATATGTAAGAATGAGGTCTATAGCCTTCAAAAGAATGCCTAACAAGTCCATGGCACAAAAATAATTAATAACCCCTCACTTAAAGACATTCAATCATCAAATCAAATAATCTGGGTCTGATTGTAGGAGATAACAGTGGAAAATTAAAAGTGAAGAGGGACTGGGCATGGTGGCTCATGCCAGTAATTGCAGCACTTTGGGAGGCTGAAGCAGGTGGATTGCTTGAGCCCAAGAGTCTGAGTCCAGCCTGAGCAGCATTATAAAACCCCATCTCTATGAAAAAAAAAAAAAAGAAAACTAGTCAGGTGTGATAGTGTGCGAATGTAATCCCAGCTACTCGGGATGTTAAGAGGTGGGAGGACCACTTGAGCCCAGGAGGTCTAGGCTGCAGTGAGCCATGATCATGCCACTGCACTCCAGCCTGGGTGACAGAGTGAGACCCTGTCTCAAAAAAAAAAAAAAAAAAGACAGAGAGAAAGATTTAAAGCCATTTCTCAGAAGAAAAAATCAACAAAACCACACATATGAATGGAACAGTTAGAGTGAGTGGTAAAGGCAGAAGATTCAAAATGACCACATGGTAGCAAAGCTCTGGAATAAAACCAAGATGAAGTGTGTGTGTGTGTGTGTGTGTGTGTATGTCAGGGGTAGCAAGGACAAATGAAGATGACTTTAGTTTTTGACACACAAAGAACAAGGTAAGTGCACACCTGTAGTGTAATCCACAGACTGGTTAAATGGAGGGGCTGGGCAGTGCAAGGGAGAAAAAAGGGCTCAACACGGCAAAGAGGCTGGTTGTGAAGATCATGTACTCTCAGAATGGATGAGTTCTTTGAGAGGGTTATATCACTGGAAACAGATCAAGTTATGAAAAACAGAAAATACAATAGTTCTTTGGAAGGAAAAGGCTGAGTTTGAGCCAGGTAAACAGAGAATACAGAGTAGTTGGAAAAAGGGAGGCTGACTAGACACAGTCTTGTGGAATTTGCAGTTATGAAATTTTCAGAAGAGGAGAAGAAGGAAGAGCAGGGCAGCTGATAACCAGGATACCACATCTCAGGAGGGCTGAAGAGTACAGTTTAATGGAGAAAAACACCCCAGAGAGCCCCAGAGGCAAAAGTTCAGAGGCATCCCTAAGAGCGGGCCATCCATCAACCCTCAGGGTACCATGGGTATTGCTGGAATGTCACAGAGCTGAAGGGAGAGGGGCAGTTAGTCTGTGTGTTAATCAGCGGTGGTTAAGGTGGTCCAGCTCAGCAATTTCCTTCACACCTGCCCACCCCAACATGGAATTCACTGCTTCCCCTTCTCTGATCCCACAGTCCTCTATGGGAGTGATTTAAATTTGAGTCCGGAAATTAGGGAAAGGATGGGTAATGAGGCTGCATATGGCAGGTAGCTCTGAAGCATTTAATCTGGAAAGTGTCAGAACAGAGGATAGGAAGCAGGAAGAGGAGAATCACAGAAGCTTTTATTTGCAAGAATACCTGCATGTGAAAGATTCTGGAGAAAGAGAGATGGACTAAGCACATAAGGGCAGAGATGCAATCAAGTAGAGGCAAGAAAAACACTCAGATGGGCAGTGGGTTTGCATGGAAGTGGAAGAGTCATTCATGCGGCTGAAGCTCTTGGAGGAAAGTGAAGGCTTTTAAGAGAATGCTGAACAAAATTCCAAAGGTGCCAGCCTCCTTCAGGACCCCTTTTGCTAGATTTATCACACTTACCCCAACAGTGGCAGCCCAGGCATGCTGCCTCACCAATCCATGGTGCTTCTTCCTGCTCCAGCCTGAGGATCACATCTGGTTTGGTGCCTTCATAACCTGTTCCGGGGAAATGATCCAGGCCTTGGGCTGAGCTCCTTGGTCTTCAGGGCCTCTCAGGCAGCTTTAAAGGCTGCACAACAGACATTATACTTGGGAGGGGACTAAACACACACCTTGTTCAGAACCAAAAGGAATTAGTAATCCAGGACCATGGAAACTCAAGCCACACCCACTGAGGCAGCACAGGGTAAGAATGTATTCTGTGCTGCCAGATGCCGAGGTTCAAATCCTGATTCTGCTATATACTAGCTGGGTGACTCTGGGCAAGTTACTTCACCTCTCTGTGCCTCAATTTCTAAATCTGTAAAAGAGTGGTACTAACAGTAACTAGCTCAAAAGGCTTTTATGAGGATGAAATAAGTTAATACTTTTAAGGTGGCTAAAACAGTTTCTGGCACATAGAAAAGTGCTAGATAACCACTAAATAAATTACTAAATAAATATTTCAGAGGTTCTAGGTACTTCAGTTCTTTGAGACAGAGTTTTGCTCTGGTCGCCCAGGCTGGAGTGCAATGGTAAGATCCCTGCTCACTGCAATCTCCACCTCTCAGGTTCAAGTGATTCTCCTGCCTCAGCCTACCCAGTAGCTGGGATTACAGGTGCCCGCCACCATACCCAGCTAATTTTTGTATTTTTAGTAGAGACAGGGCTTCACCATGTTGACCAGGATGGTTTCAAACTCCTGACCTCAGGTGATCCATCTGCCTCAGTCCCCCAAAGTACTTCAGTTGCTTTTAGCAACTGAGAAAGGAAAGGTGGTCATTCAAACATAATCTGCATTGTATGGTGAAGGTGTGCTTACCCACTGAGACGAGGTTGCTATAGGTTTCCAGCATCACATCCCGATACAGAGCCCTCTGAGTAGGATTCAGCTGGTGCCACTCCTCTTGGGTGAAGCCCACAACCACATCTTTGAATGACACAGGTGTCTGTTGAAACAAAAATGACATTAAGTCATGTAGAAAAAAATGTTTGTGCAGGGCTAGGCATGGTGGCTCATGCCTGTAATACCAGCACTTTGGGAGGGCAGATGCTTGAGGTCAGGAGTTCAACACTAGCCTGGTAAACATGGTGAAAGCCCATGTATACTAAAAATACAAAAATTAGCCAGCCATGGTGGTGCACACTTGTAATCCCAGCTATTTGGGAGGCTGAGGTGGGAGAATCACTTCAACCTAAGAGTTGGAGGTTGCAGTGAGCCAAAATCGCACCACTGCACTCGAGCCTAGGTGACAAAGCGAGACTCCATCTCAAAAAAAAAAGTGTTTGTGCAAGAGATGGTATTGATTTTCATTACATTTACAGGTTAGAGCTTATCATCTATCTGGGAGGCCTTTTACATTCTTGGCTTTGTATATGGTGGGGAAAATGAAAATCACATTGGAAGCTAACTACCATTGCCATTCATACTTTGAGTCAACAAACATTGAAGACCTACTGTGTGTTTCACCCAGTGTTGGTTGCTGTGGTCTCAGTCATAAAAGGGTCCTGACCCCAAGGAGCCCACTGTCTGGCACAGAGAGAGCAACATGTAAAACCATCAGAGTAACAGTGTCACAAGAGCTGTGATGGCAGGACATCCAGGCTATGGCATATAGAGAAGTGAATGACCTGTTAAATTTTTCAGGGTCTGGTTATTCCTCAAAGACCAGGGATATGGAGAGCTGAGTCTTTCTTCTCTGCAGGAAGATGGAAAACTGCATTCTATGCGGGGGGGCAGCATGAACAAAGGCCTGGGGGCAAAACAGTGATTTTAGGGGTGGCAAGTTACTTAGTAACAAGAGAAAAATATGCAGAGGCTGGGTGTGGTGACTCACGCCTGTAATCCCAGCACTTTGGGAAGCTGAGGCAGGCAGATCCCAAGGTCAGGAGATCAAAACCATCCGGGCTGTCACAGTGAAACCCCATCTCTACTAAAAATACAAAAATTAGCTGGGCGTGGTGGCAGGCGCCTATAGTCCCAACTATTCAGAAGGCTGGGGCAGGAGAATCGCTTGAACCTGGGAGGCGGAGGTTGCAATGAGCCAAGATTGCAACACTGCACTCCAGCCTGGGCAACAGAGTGAGACTCCATCTCAAAAAAGAAAAAAAGCACACAGAGGTCTGCCACTAATTAAATGATAGACTTTAGGACAATGAAAACTCTATCAAAGAAGAAGTCTATGCAGAAAGCATATTCTAGAAGGCATGAGGTGAGCTGCTTGCATTCTATGTGAAGTGGTATAATGCTAATTTTAACTATGAAAAGTTAAAATCTACATTGTATCCCTAGAGTAACCATGAAAATCATAACGTGAGGTATACCCGATGTAAATAAACAGAATATGCTTTCTAACAGCATGTCTAATAATACTCCTGTGAGAAAAATCTCCATCTATGAGTCTGCTTTCCTGAGAACTCAGCCTGTATGTATTTACTAAGTGTATGTACATACAAACTGTACATACTTACGATGCATCCCTTTTTTATTCTAGGACAGTTTCCCCGGGAAGGAAAACTGGGCTACTTAACGTGATACTCACCTGGTAGTTGATCATTTTCTGCTGTTCTTGGAAAAAGATCCAACACCTGTACACACGTAGGGGGAAGAAGATGGAGAAGGAGAAAACAGAGAACAGCGTGTGAGGGATTAGGTCTGTCTTGGAAATTGCAAATTCCCTTTGTAAATCTTGTACAAAAATCCATACTTTTAGCTGGGCGTGGTGGCTCACACCTGTACTCCTAGCACTTGGGGAGGCCAAGGTAGGAGAGTTACTTGAGGCCAGGAGTTAGAGACCAGAGTGAGCAATATGGCAAAACCTTGTCTCTACAAAAAAGATAAAAAGTTAGCCAGGCATGGTGGTGCATGCCTATAGTCCCAGATACCCAGGAGGCTGAGGTGGGAGGATTGCTTGAGCCCAGGAGGTCAAAGCTGCAGTGAGCCACGATCCCACTACTGCACTCCAGCCTGGGTGACACAGTAAGACCCTGTCTCAAAAATTAAATATAAATAAACAAACAAATAAATATCCTTTATCTCTTGTTTCAAATACTTTGAAATATTGTATAGGTCATAAAGCACAGACCATAAAGCATAGCTAGTATAGTATCTAAATGCCCCAAACCCCAAGACATGTAATGATCATAAAAGGAAAAAAGGTAACTTTGCCCTGGAGAAACTTGGCAGCATCGCTTAGTCAAGCGATCAATTAACGTGACCAGTAATGAGACAGAAGACATCATGTGCCTCCTGTGAAGGGTACAACATCCCTTCTGTGGCATTCATACTCCAAATGAACCTGAACCTAATCAATGAGGAGACATCAGGCAAAGCCATACTGAGTTACACTATACAAAATAACCTACCTATACTCTTCAAAAATGTCGACCTCATGGAAGACGAAGACTGAGAAACTGCTCTTGATTAAACGAGACTAAAGGGATGTGTCACCTAAAGGCAGCATATGATCCTGGATTGGAACCTGCAATGGAAAAAGAAAAGGTGCCACAGGGCCAGGCGCAGTGGCTCACACCTGTAATTTGGGAGGCCGAGGTGGGCAGATCGCCTGAGGTCAGGAGTCTGAGGCCAGCCTAGGCAACATGGTGAAACCTTATCTCTACTAAAAATACATAAATTAGCCGGGTGTGCTTGCAGGCGCCTGTAATCCCAGCTAATTTGGAGGCTGAGGCAGGAGAATCACCTGAACCGGGAGCCGGAGGCTGGAGTAAGCCCAGATTGCACCATTGCATTCCAACAAGAGGGAGACTTCATCTCAAAAAAAAAAAAAGAAAGAAAGGTTGCTATAAAGTGACAAAGTGACAGTATTAGTTGACATCTGATTATAGATTGGACTAGTCTAGTCTTTATTCTATATTAGTCTAGTTATGATTATTAAATGGTTATAATGCTGACTGGGTAATCAGTGTTAACCGCCCGGTTTTGAAAACTACTGGTTATATAAGAAAATGTTCTCATTCTTAGGAAATATACCCTGAAGTATCATGTCTGCAAGTTAGTCTTAAGTAGTTAAAGAAAATAAAGAATAAGAATGATATATATTTATGACAGGACAGAATCATCTATATACATATATATTTGTATATAGAGAGAGCACATGCAAATATGGCTTTATATAGATGAACCTAGGTAAGGAATACATAGGAGCCCACAGTAATATTCTTGCTTTTTTTTGGAAAAAATTTTTCAAATAAAATGTTTAATTAAAAACAAAACAAAACGAAAAGCAAAAACTAGGCAGGCACAGTGGTTCATGCCTGTAATCCCAGCACTTTGGGAGGCTAAGATGGGCAGATCACTTGAGGTCAGGAGTTTGAGACCATCATAGTCAACATGGTGAAACCCCATCTCTACTAAAAATATAAAAGTTAGCCAGGCGTGGTGGTGTGTGTCTGTGATCCCAGCTCCTCAGGGGGCTGAAGCAGGAGAATTGCTTGAACCAGGGAGGCGGAGGTTGCAGTGAGCCAAGATTGCACCATTGCACTCCAACCTGGGCGACAAGAGTGCAACTCCGTCTCAACAAAAGAAAACAAAAGAAAATATACAGTAGGTCCATAAATTCTGCTGCCACCACCATTCTGAGAATCCAGGGTCTTTTCTACTGAGTCAAAATGGAGTGAATTCATCACATTTCAAAAGGCCAAGTGAGGTGCCAAAAATGACAGGAGGGCAGCTCAGTCTAGAAAGATCCAGCAAGAATAAAGGAGCAGATTGGCTACACCCCATACCACAAGATAGCAGAACACCTGGGCTAGATGGATGTCCCCTACTCCTGACAGAACACGCCTATCGTACCTGCAGTGAGACTCTGGCCTCCCTACCTCTCCCTTCATTCTGTCTCCCTGGATCTTGGCCCAACCCTCCTCTCATTATTTAGCCAAGGTGAGTCCCTAGAAAGAGTAATGTCTTCAGGCTGGGTCTTGCTCCACTTCTGGCTCAGGGATGAAGCTATTTCCTTTTATGTGAGAGTCTTTGCTCTGACAAGAGGTATGGGGCCTGGGTGATTGCTCAGGAGGGAATTTTTGTCCCAAGTTCCCTTCTCCTGGACAGAAGGTCATTAACATGGCCTGCCTGGGCGCTTATAGCTCCATATCTCAACAATAACTCACATTCACCTGCAGGGCTTGGCAGGGCCTCCTGTAGATGTTGTGACCAAGGTCCTGTGGCTCTGCTGGCAGGAGCTAGAGAGCCCTACCATGCAGCAAGGTGGCAGGAGCCAAAGGTCTGAAGGGCACCCAGAAAACCTGAAGGTAAGCAGATCCCATGGTGACAGTCATCCAATTGTCCCTCCCCAAACAGTCCCTGGGGCCTCAGGGGGAAAAGCCTACAGAGCTGTGCAGGAGACATACCTGAGTAATGGCTCCGCTCTGGGACTGGGGCAGGGGGAACTTCCACAAAGACCCTTGTGTCTGAGTCATTCCCTCAGCCAGGGAATGACTCAGATACAAGCTAGAGGCCAAGTAATTCTTCTGACTGAGGGAATCTAGGCCAGACACTTTGCCTCTCTAGGCCTGACACTTTGCCTCTCTAGGCCTGTTTCCTCACCTGTGAAAACAGAAAGAGGCTGTCAAACAGAGACTCAGGAGCCAGACAACCTGGGTTCAAATGCAGGCTCTGCTATTTACTGATGTGTGTTATTGAATGAGTTACTTAGTCTGTCTGTGTCTCAGTTTCCCCATCACTTATTTATTATTTTACCCTTCTTTAATTTCTGATGGAAAAAGACATTTTCCTCATATATTTATTGGCCATTTGCATTTCTTTTGTAAACAATGTTTATACTCTTAACTTACGATTTTCCTGAGTTGTTTATTTTCAAAAATTAATTTACAAGTGCTCTTTATACATCGAGGCTATTAATCCTTTGACATATTTGTTATAAACATGTTTTTATAGTATGACGTTTGTCCTTATTTGTCATTTGTCCTTAAACTGGACTTATTAAATTCCAAATATCAAGCAAATTTTTCTGGTTATTTTTAATTATCTACTTGTTGATTTTTTCCCCTTATACTTTCTGCTTCTGGTAGTATTTTTAGTAAAAGTCTTTTCCATGAGATTATTAAAATGATCTTTTTATCTTATAAGATTGGCAAAGATGCAAACTGTATCTCTTACATTGCTGGTAGGAGGGTAGGACATTTCAGCTTCCTGAAGGGCATTTATATCAGAATTTTTAGAGTGCACACTCATTAAATCACTCTTGGACATCCAACAATATGTCCCAAGGAACTAATTAGTCTCACTAAAGTAAAAGATAAAGGTACAAGATGTTCGCCTCATCTTTGCTTACAAAAGTAAAACAACTGGAAGCAATCAAAATGTGCCAGCAATAATTTATTTTTTTCATTTATCTATGTATTTATTTGAGATAGGCTGGAGTACAGTGGCATGATCACACTTGCTGCAGCTTCGAACTCCCAGGCTCGGGTGATCCTCCCACCTCAGTTTCCTGAGCAGGAGGGACTATAGATAAGCACCAGCACACCTGGCTAATTTTTGCTTTTTTTTTTTTTTATTGAGAAGACACGATTTCACCATGTTACCCACGCTGGTCTTGAACTCCTGGACTCAAGAAATCCACCTACCCTGGCCTCCCAATGTGCTGGGATTACAGGTGTGAGCCACCACACAAAGCAATTAAAAGACCGGTGGGCTGATATTGGTGAGTGACAGAATAGAACCCAAGACAGGCAATAGAAATAGTAATGGAGGCCTGGCATAGTGGCTCACGTCTGTAATCCCAGTACTTTCAGAAGCCGAGGTGGGCGGATCAACTGAGGTCAGCAGTTCAAAACCAGCTTGGCCAATATAGCTGAAACCTCATCTCTACTAAAAATGGAAAATATTAGCTGAGTGTGGTGGCAGGCGCCTGTAATCCCAGCTACTCAGAAGGCTGAGACAGGAGAATCGCTTGAACCCGGGATGCAGAGGTTGCAGTGAGCCAAGATCATGCCACTGCACTCCAGCCTGGGTGACAGAGTGAGACTGCATCACAAAAAAAAAAAAAGAAAGAAATAGTAATGGAAGCCAGGCATGGTGGCTCACGCCTATAATCCCAGCACTTTGGGAGGCCGAGGTGGGCAGATCAACTGAGGTCAGGAGTTCCAGACTAGCCTGGCCAACATGGTGAAATCTCGTCTCTACTAAAAATAGAAAATATTAGCTGGGCGTGGTGGCAGACACCTGTAATCTCAGCTACTGAGGAGGCTGAGACAGGAGAATCACTTAAACCCAGGAGGCGGAGGTTGCAGTGAGCCCAGATCATGCCACTGCACCCCAGCTTGAGTAGCAAAGCAAGACTTCACCTGAGAAGCAAAAAAGAAAAGAAATAGTAATGGAGTGGTATACTCCCTGACTTGGAAGGGCATTTGTGATGTATTTTGAAGTAGGAAATACAAGTCAGAACATACAATGTGAAGCATAATTCTATTTTTAAGATTATGTAAGTCCAAATCTATGAAAATATTAACAGTTGTTTTCTCTGAGTGAAGGGATTGAAAGGAATTTACATTTCATTTTTGATGTGTTCATTTTCTAACTTTTCCAATAGCCTCATAATTATATATTTATTTGGATAATAGGAATAATAACAATAACAACAATAATGACAAATCAAAACAAACACAGTCTTATGTAGGAAGAACAAATAAAAGTATGACACATCATAGGACTGATGGAAATAGAAAAAAAAAAACTAGCTTGTATTTATTGAGCCCTGATCTCAACTCAAGCACAGCGTATGGTTATTTCCTCATATTGACTTATTTATTCCTCACACTACCCTCTAAACCGAGTCCTACTCCATTTTTAGATAAAGGCACGGTGCCGAGAGAGGTGAAGAATTAGCACCCAGCCGCACTGAGATACAGATCCCACTAGCCTGGCTGTAGCACTGGGTTTATAACCTCCCAGTCTTGCTGCCTCTTGGAGACAGATTTGTCTTCTAAAAGAACAATGCAACATTTGATGTCCACATTTTGTTTTTTTGAGACAGAGTTCATCTCTCATTGCCCAGGCTGGAGTGCAGTAGTGCAATATCGGCTCACTGCAGCCTCTACCCTCCTGGGTTCAAGCGATTCTCCTGCCTCAGCCTCCCAAGTAGCTGGGATTACAGGCATGAGCCACCACACCTGGCCTAATGTACTCATTGAATACAACTAAGATCACCTCCAGCTGCAGAAATAGACTAAAATATGAAAGCAGGAAACAGTAATTTGATACATCTGGTAAAACTATAAGGAATATTTTCTTCAATTTCCTTCAACAAAAAGGTAAAATTAGTAATTTCTCTTTTTTATTTAAAAATGTATTTTTTCCTACTGGGGATGCCCATCTGCACACAGAGCCAAGTGAGGCAGACAAAAATCAGTGATTGAGTAACGAAATGTGAAAAACAAAGTTCCCTTCCTCCCTCAGCCCCAATTCCTCCCTAAAACTGAGCAACTATGGGGAGAACCCACTTGAAGATGAAGTCAATCATTATCTTTCTTGGTAAAGAGTCAATCTTAGGCCGGGCATGGCGGCTCATGCCTATAATCCCAGCATTCTGGGAGGCTGAGGTGGGCAGATCACTTGAGGCCAGGAGTTAAAGACCACCCCAGCCCACACAATGAAACCCCATCTCTACTAAAACCACAAAAATTAGCAGGGTTTGGTGGCATGCACCTTTAGTCCCAGCTACTCAGGAGGCTGGAGAAGGAGAATTGGTTAAACCTGGGAGGCAGAGGTTACAGTGAGCTAAGATCACACCACTGCACTCCAGTGTGGGTGACAGAGCAAGAATCCAGATTAAAAAAAAAAAAAAAAAAAAAGTCAGTCTTGGAAAGCAGTAGTGCCCTGTAGTCAGTCACTCTTCCAGCAGCATGGCAGCCATCTGATGGGCACCATCTCAGCATTGTGACATGATTGTGATTTACACATCCTTATCATTAGTCCCCAACATTTGAACTCAAAAGCCATATTTTTCCCATAGATGCCATCATCTGGATGCTCTTGGTCACAAATCTATGGTTAGAGAGATCTAATCATAGATGTCTCATTGCCATACACAAAAGTGAACTCAGTATCTTCTCTCTCAACTTTTTCTTCCTCTTAGGTCACAGCTTCTACCTCCCAAAGCTGTATGTTTTAAAGTTTTGTCTAGCACATTAACTCTTATTACTTATTTTTCATAAATGTCCTAGATATTCTCAAATGTTTCATCTTCAACATAAGCTATAGAATTGTTCTGTTAAAAATTGGAGCAAAGAGATCCCTTCTAAATATTTTGAGTAACATTGTACTGAACTTGTCTATTCATATAAGAAAATGTTGACAATTTTGAAAATTTTTGAGCCTTCCAATTGAAGAACAAGGCTTCAACATTTATTCAAGACTTTCTTTACGTCTCAAAATGTCATGTTTTATGCTTTCACATGGGTATTCCAATTTTCTTTTTATATCTGTTACTGGATAGTCAACTGTGTTTTCAGTTACGATTCTAAATGGCATATTTTTATCCATTTAATTACTGACTGCAACTTTAAAAATTCATCAATCCATTTTCCTATAGTCATTTTAAACCAGTCACCTTACTGAACTTCCTTAAGAACTATAATGGTTAATCTTCAAGAGCTTTTGGGATACACAATTATTTCATCCACAAATACAGTTTTTTCTTGTCTCATCCAATATTTATGTTTCTTACTTCATTCCCTGATTAACTGCACTGGCAGGTAGGTACTCTAGAAGAAAGCAAATTAAAGCAGGGACAGGTTGTTCACTTGAATGTGAACATATGCAGAGTTCTGCCATTACATCTGCTACTGATTTTTCACTTGAGACATAGAAGGTCTTTTCAAGTTAAGGAAGTATCTAGGCCGGGTGCAGTGGCTCATGCTGGTAATCATAGCACTTTGGGAGGCAAAGGCGGATGGATCATGAGGTCAGGAGTTTGAGAACAGCCTGGCCAAGATGGTGAAACCTCATCTCTACTAATAATACAAAAATTAGCCAGCCATGCTGGCAGGTGCCTATAATCCCAGCCACTCTGGAGGCTGAGGCAGGAGAATTACTTGAACCCGGGAGTCGGAGGTTGCTGTGAGCCAAGATAGCACCACTGACTCTAGCCTGGGTGACAGAATAAGACTCTGTCTTAAAAAAAAAAAATCCAAATTGTTCTCTTTTATTATGTTTTTTAAAATCCAGAGCAGATGTTGAATTTTATCAAATACTTTTTTCCCATCTATGATGTGGCTATGTATGCTCCCTTGTCCCATTAAAATGGAAAAATTCATTAATAAATTATTAAAATAATATTGAACTTACTGTACTTATACTTTTAGGATAAATTTCCTCTCAGTCATAATGCATTATTTAACATATTACTAATTTTGCATATACATTTATAAGAAGGTTGGGCTATGGTTTTCTTTTGAAATACCACCTTTTCCTGTTTTTGGAATCAATGCAACAATATTGGCTTTATTAAAAAAAAAATAAGGGGTGATAGTTTCTTCCTTTATAAATTCCCGGAAGAGTATCTATCTATCTATCTATCTATC